ATGTTAAATCTCAAAGGACTATTTCTAAATAGCTCTTTAAAAAAAAAAAAAAAATAGCTCTAACAGTTTAATCACTGAAATGCTACATTTCCATTGAGCAGTCAAGCTAATTCCTTATCCAAGATGTAGCAAAGTTTCCTGACTGGACCCCAAAGGCCTGAGCTGCCCTTCTTGAAGCTGGGAGGAGCATTCTTGAAGCAGGGTAGACCCTCAGAGTTTTAGATTTTTATCTCACATCATATCTTTTGTGATAACTGTTTGTCCAAAATAGGTAAAAGTTTACACGGGTATAAAGCAGTGTTAATAATTACATGTGGAAACTGATTAGTATTTAACTCATTAATATTTAGAGCAGTGGTTCTTGACCTGCTGCGATTTTGCCCCTACCCCCACTCCCCCACCCCCCAGGGACATTTGCAGGATCTGGAGACATTTTTGTTCCTCATACCTGGGAGGGGGACTCTACGGGCATCTAGTTGGTGGAGTCTAGCATGCTGCTAAACCTTCTATAGCGCATAGGACAGCCCCGGGAAACAAAGAAAAATCATCCTACAATGTTAATGGCACCAAGATTGAGAAAGCCTGGTTTAGAGGCACACAGAGGAAATTGGATAAACCCCAAGTACCAGAATGCTAAGTATTTCTATGATTGTGAGGTTCCCATGTGCCAAGCACTCTTGGCTTTACTGGCACTAACTCACTTCATCCCCACAACAACCCTATTTTGTCGTCCTTGTTTCACAGGTGACACTGAGGCTTACAGATGTCAGAAAACTTGCCCAGGGCCATTATGCTTGTATCAGTGGAGCAGGGATTCAGACCCAGGCAGCCCAGCTCTAGAATCCAAGCGCTTAACCATTACACACACTGCCTTTAACCTCTACATCTATAAGTGAGCCGACACTCATATCTCTAACAATAAACAAATACAGGCCTTTGAAAGACAGCCTCCATCTGAAAGGATAGTGCCTGTTTCCTCTCAGAGATGGCCATTACGCAGTCTGTGTACAAATCTAGGCCTTTGATATTGGTCACTGATTATGAGGACCGGGGCTAAGTGTAACAGCAGAGACCAAAAAACAAGCCCACTGCCAAAGAATTGATTTCAACTCATAGAGACCCTATAAGACAGGGTCCAGCAAACCCAAACTCACTACCATTGAGACGATTCGACTCACATCACCCCCTCCTTGGGTTTCCAGGCAGTATCTCTATAGAAGTAGATTACCCAATCTTCCTTCTGGGGAGTGGCTGGTAGGTTTGAACCGCCA